TCTGGGAGTTGAAGTCCACTCATCTTAAAGTGGCCAAGTTTGGACAACACTGCTATAAATCATTAGTGAGAAAAGGACTTCAGTCCAGTTGGAGCATACTTAGCTGATCTCTGTCTACTCTCGAAGAGACCACAAAGCATTTAATCAGTTAAGGATCAGAGAAATCTTTGCCAGTAGAAAAATCTCATCCTGACATGATCTTCCACTAATTCAAGCCAGAAGAACATCAGCCAGTGACTTCTCCAGCTCTTCTGATCTTGTTCTCTTCACTTTGCTGAAAGTGGGCTTGTGTTCTGTTTTATAGAGGACATTGTGGATAGCCAGTGGGGTGTACTTGTAAGATATCATGAGGGTGTTGGGTAGAAGTGGGGAGCCCCAGCTTGAAGTCCCCAAATGGATTGGTCTGTACTACAAAATAAATCTTAAGTGTAGGTCAATGAATCATCACCGCTGTGTTCCCATAATACTGTAGTGTCCAAGCAAATAAACTTGTTATAATATACTGGTGTAGGCTTTCATAGCCGGTATCTGTTGGGCAGTGTAGAGCTTCAGGGTTGGGTGACCGTGGTCTATAAAGCACATTTTCTGACATTTTGCCAGCAACTGTGGCTGTCATCTTCAGAGGCAAGATGATCTGCTACACACCTTGCCTGTGAAGATGCCACCTTCAGAGTCCACCTTGCCTGTGAAGATGCCAGCCAGAGTTGCTGGCAAAACATCAGAAAATCTGCTTTATAGACCACGGTCACCCAACCCTGAAGCTCAACGCTGCCCAAATTTGTTATAGTTTAACAAGATTTCCTGGTTGACACAACCCACCATGGCTGGGTTTCTTCAAAGCAGTGAACCATAAATGCCTCAATCCCATTTCAGCCTGGTGTTGTGTGAGCCTGGCCACTACCAGGGAAGGCCACTGGGTCACTGTGGGCCAGTCACTCCTTCTCCTTCCAAGATTATTGTTGCTTTCCTCCAAAGGCATAGAGCGGTGTTTCTCAACCTTGGCAACTTGAAGACCTGTGGACTTCAACTTGCCAGGGTTGAGAAACACTGGCATAGAGGCCCAACAGCCTATAAACGTGGGCAAACTGCAAGATGGACACTGACCAAGGCAGATCCTCCAGCGCCAGCTGCCCTTCTGCTTTCTTCCAAACATGTAGAGCAGAGGGAGGGAAAGAGGGAGGGGACCCTTGGGGATATGGGGAAAACAAAAGGAGGTTGGGGGGAATTGGTGAGACCACTTGTTTCTTCATAAAGAACAGTCCTCTTGGCCTCTTCTCTCAAGTCCCTGTCCAGCCACAGCAAGACCTTCCATTGTCTGAGAAAGCAGAAGAGGGTGAGATGACGGCAATAGCTCCTCTTGCTTCCTTCCACTAGAGAAGGAGGACGCCAATTCTCCTTCTTTCCCCACGTTTTGGTGCCCCTCTGCTGGCCACAGCAGAGAATTTCTTTCCACGAGAGCCCAACACAGCAGGGTTTGACAGCTTTTCACATCTTGAAAGCATGGGGTGGCTACCTGGAACAGGGCCAGGCGCAAAACACTCATTTCACAAAAGGCAAATGGGGTGTGTGTGTTTGTGTGTGTGTGTGTGTGATTAACTTTTTCTTTTTCCCAGGCAGGTGGACACCCTGGGAACAAAGCCCTGGGAACAAAGTTTAGCCTGTCGTGTGAACACAGCGGGTAGGTTTTAAACGGAGCTCTTTGAATGGCTCCCACAAATCCAGTTAAAGAGATACATGTTTTTGTACGTGGGCATCTTTCTAAATCTGCTTAGGTGCGTTAAGCCTATCCTACTTTTTTTTTTTTTTTGCTTTTATTTTAAAAAATGGTTGAAAAATCAAGCCTCTGTCATTGGTAGCTTCCTGTTTGAAAGCTGAAGGCATAATCCCTCAGCACCTGGTCGTGTCCGCAGGCCTGGGGGCACATCCCCAGGACACATCCATGCACTTTTCTTGTTAACAATATGGAAGGCCATTGTCTTCCTCTTGGCCTTTTTTCTGGGGGAGGGGAGGAGCTTCACAGTCTAGCCACAACCCTATGATTTCCTAGTGGTCTCCCATCCAACAAGGCCACCAGGCACTATGGCTTTGTATTACCCTCCAAAGCAGTTTGGTGGAAGAGATTGTTCCTTTTGCATGGGGAGATGTTACTTTGGTGTCATTAAGCAGTCTTCCCCTCTCTGGTTTCTCTCCCTCCGGCCATGCTTTTCTGGCTGCGGTTGGCAGAGTTTGAGATTTTAGATTCTGCAGAGAGAGGCTTTCCAGAGTCTTGTCAACCAGACAGGCTGGATACAGCTTTTGACTCTTCCTTTTCCTCAGAGAAGTATCCCCCTTTTGCTTTTAAGTTTGCAGAGGACAAGCTACTGCAGAATATTTTAACAGAACACAGCAGAAGCCTCCCAATATCCGTAAGAACCGACGGCTCAGGCCGATTCTTCTAGCAAAAGGAGCAAAAATTGGCTAGGCTGAAATCCTGCCTTTCCTTCTGGAGCAAAAAGCAGGGAACACAATGCTCTTGTCTCCCTTTTCTGAATGCTACCGTAATCACATTGCTTATTCCTGTCGGCTGGTCATTCATTTATTAGAGTTACATCTTGACTGTCCTCAAGGCGTTTTATTTATTTGTTTGTTCAGTTGATACAGCCGCCCATATCACATGCGTGACTCACAAAGTCGAAATGCAAAAAGCAATACAAAAATAAACAAAGACATACAACAAACACCATGGAAAACAACAAAAACAATTAAAACAATCTGCGAGAGTGCAATCCAACTTACTAACAATCGAGCCATTTAGCAGGCTCTGCACCGCCACTACCAGATGCCCAGGTGAGATGGCAAAGTCCAGGCTTCAGGCTCTTCCTAAAAACCAGAAGGACTGGTGCCAATCTAGGTTCTAGGGGAACGTTGTTCCAAGAGTCATATGTGGTGCTTCATCCCCTCATTTTTCTCCGCAACAATAACGCTGTGAAGCAGACTGGCCTAAGAAAGAGTGACAAAGTCCCATAAGGAGTTTCCATGGTTGAGGTGAGACTCAAAACTGAATGTTCCCCAGGGAGCTTCTGTGGTTGTGGACTGGAACTGGAGCCTCTCTGCTCCTCACCACTGCCCCACCCTGTCTCTTGGATTGAGAGGGAAGGACTGGCCCCAAGTCCTCCGGGGAGCTTCTGTGGCTGAGGGCAACTAGAACCTGGTCTCCTTGCTCCTAGTCCAGACCTTCACCACTGCACCACACTGCTCTAAGGCTCAGAGAGTGGGACTGGCCCAAAGTCGCTCTGAGAGCTTCCATGGGTAAGGATGGAGTAGAACCTGGACCTCCCTGCTCCTAGTCCAACACCTTCACGCACTATTCCACCCTGGCTCTCATTCTGTGGATTGTTCTCCCCTGCCACCCATCCTCTTCCTTGCTTAAGTGTAAAACATGGACAATGTAGCCCTTAAACACTGATCCGGCTATTATGACAGCATTTTATCTGAAGCACAGCCCAGATGCATCAGAACTAAACTTCAAGTCTGATGACCTTAAATCAGGGACTTAGAAGATTATTCCATCCTGTAGTAGTGTTCCCTAGCTGGCCCTTACGATGGCCATTCTTGTACAGAAGAACTACAAAGACAGTTTCAACCAGAAAATCCAGAACTACAATTCATCAAGAGTTTTAATACCAGGGTTTTGTCTTCATCAGAGACATAGCTATCTTAATACAGGACTATCTGTTAAACTGCTTTATGGATGGACACGGTCATTAAGGTAAATATCAACTGCTGCATCTTCTCAATGTTCTTCTCCTCCCCTCCTGGCCATCCAACGCATGGAGGAACATATGCAAACCCACACACATCACTCCTAGCCCAACACCTTCACCTTTAACCACCTTGTCTCTGAGTCTGGGAGAAGCGACTGGCCCAAAGTCCTCCGGGGAGCTTCCAGGACTGAGAGAGAACATTGAACCTGAATCTCTCTAGTGTCACTTTAGCATTGTAACCAAGGATGGCTCTGTGTGTGACTTGGCCGGCCATATAAATTCAATGAATAAACAAACAAACAAACAAATAAATATTAGCAACATGTTCTCATTTCCCCCTGTGAAATGTTAAATGGCCTGGAAGACTGTCTGTTTCACTCAGTATAATCCCATATTCTCATCCCCAATGGCTGACTCTCATGAGGGTTCAACCAATCTTCCACATGCTTTCACCAGCCTCTTCTTCTGCTGCTCTTCAAGGCACCCACCCAAAACCCAAATCTTCTTCTAAAAGCTCCCACTACAAAATTCTGAATTCCTGATATTTCAAAGATTATCTGAGAGATTCCAGTCTGGTTTCGCTTCTTCAAACTGGTGAAATGCTACTCACGGGCAAGGTGAATTTTTAGTCCCTTCTTTTCTTCTGAAAGAGGAAGTATGCCTTTTGCGAGTTTTCTCTGAAATGGTGGGAGGAAATATACTGGAGTATTCTTGGGATCTGGGGAGAAGTGAGGCTCTCTTAAGAGGTATATAACCCTACAACTTTGTGTCTATGGCCACACTATCTTAGGAAGGAGAAAAAACAACAGAAGACCTTCCTCAGACATATTTGCTAGTCACCCATCATGGCCAGCCTGAAGTTTGCTGTTCTGACCATCCTGATCTTGGCTTTCTATTATCAACCCATAGCAGGTGAGTAACCATCATTTTTCTTTTAATAAGTTTGTTCCAAAATATTTATTTTTTCCTAGGACTTGCTTGCTTGCCTATTGAACTGCAGGGATGGGACCACGTAGTCACAAGCAATCAAAACTGATCTTTGAGATCTATTGAGTACTGAAGGATCCCTGTCTGGGAAAACAGGGCGTTTGCATTGATGCAGAAGTACAATTAAAAGCAGGAAAAAACCAGGCCGTAGCTAACCTGTTTTTTCATTTAAGTCAGTAGTGTGGCAAGTTTTCAACAGTTGAATGGGCATATCAAGCTGCTATTAAAGCAGCAATTCTAAGGTTTGGTTGCCACATTGGTGGATCCAAATGGAGCTGAAATATAGAAACATTTGTCTAAGTTAGCTAAATCATAGAAAAGCATAACTTCCGGGGTCCCTTAAAAGATCAGCAACCCCCCAGAGGAGCTATATAAAGCTACTAAATTAGCATCCTCAAGTTAAATCCAACCAGAGGCTTGTGTTCTTCATGCCTGCCTGTGGAAAGAGAAAAGCTTACCACTATTTTGTAAACTTTT